TTCTCTTATGCGCCTCTTCCATCCCACCCATTCCTCTCCGCTCCACCCTCCTCCCCTGCCTCCCTTCCTCTCATTCTCTCCTTTTTTGAGACACAGGGTCGTGGCTCTGTCTCCCCAGGCTGGAGTACAGTGGCGTCATCACAGACAACTCCTGCAGCCTTCACCTTCTAGCCTCCACCATCCTCCTCTCTCAGCCTCCTCAAAAAGTAGCTGGGACTACAGGCACATGCCACCATCTCGCACGCTAATGTTTTGTATTTTCATTTTTTTTTTTTTGTGAGGGGTTTTCGAGACCACGGGGTTTCACCGTGTTAGCCGGGATGGTCTCAATCTCCTGACCTCGTGATCCGCCCGTCTCGGCCTCCCAAAGTGCTGGGATTACAGGCTTGAACCACTGCGCCCGGCCCTTTTGTATTTTCTTTATTTTTATTTTTTAATTTTTTTGAGACCTAGTCTTGCTCTTACCCAGGCTGGAGCGCAGTGGTGCGATCTCGGCTCACTGCAAGCTCCGCCTCCCGGGTTCACGCCATTCTCCTGCCTCAGCCTCCCAGTAGCTGGGACTACAGGCCCCCGCCACCACGACTGGCTAATTTTTTGTATTTTTAGTAGAGATGGGGTTTTCCTGTGTTAGCCAGGATGGTCTCGATCTCCTGACCTCGTGATCTGCCTGCCTTGGCCTCCCAAAGTGCTGGGATTACAGGCGTGAGTCACTGCACCCGGCCAATTTTTGTATTTTCTGTAGAGACGGGCATTTGTCATGTTGCCCAGGCTGATCTCAAACTCCTCAAATTGTCACCTGGCCTATTTCTGTTTTTTAAATATTCATTTTTATGAGTTTGGGAGGTGGGACGTTAGTTCTTTTTCTTTGAGATATTGCTAATATTTTATTTCCCAGTTTTAGATTTGACCTTTGGTTCTATGATTTTTTTAAAAAAATCATCTAAGATTTTTTTTCCCTATACAGACGTTTTACATGGCCAAACATGTTAGTTTTTTTCCTCTGTTAAACTTCTAAATTTTGTGTTGTGTGTAGAAATTCCCTCCCCATTCTAAGTTAAAGACATTTAGTCATGTTTTTCTTTTTCTTTTTCTTTTTTTTTTTGAGACAGAGTCTTACTATGTTGCCCAGGCTGGGGTGCAGTGGCACGATCTCAGCTCACTGCAACCTCTGACTCCCAGGTTCAAGCGATTCTTCTGCCTCAGCCCCCTAGTAGCTGGGATTACAGGCTCACGCCACCATGCCTGGCTGATTTTTGTATTTTTAGTAGAGATGGGGTTTTGGCACGTTGGCCAGGCTGGTCTGGAACTCCTGATTTCAGGTTATCCACCCGCTTTGGCCTCCCAAAGTGTAGGATTATAGGTGTGAGCCACTGTGCCCAGCCCTAGTCATGTTTCTTTACTAAAACTATTTGTTTTGGCATGTTGATCTTATGTTTACTTTTATAGAGGGAGTGAGGGATGGATGGAATAAGTTTTACATATGACTTGTCAGTTGTGCCAACATTATTCACTCACATAACTTTTTTGCCAAAAAAAGGTTATTTTAGAGATGGAGTCTTGCTCTGTTGCCCAGGATGGCTTAAACTCCTGGATTCAAGTGATCTTCCTGCCTCAGCCTCCCAAAGTGCTGGGACTAGAGGCACACACTACTGCACCCATTTGAAAATTCAAATTTTGAGTCAAATTCTCCCAACATTCCTTTCCTTTCCTTTACCTTCTCTTCGCTTCCCTTCCCTCCGCTTCCCTTCCCTCCCCTCCCCTTCCCTTCGCTTCCCTTCACTTCCCTTCGCTTCCCTTCGCTTCCCTTCCCTCCCTTCCCCTCCCCTCTTTCTCTCCTCTCCTCTTCTCCTCTTTCTCTCCTTTTTCTCTCTTTCCTTTTTTTTTTTTTTTGAGATAGGCTCTTGTTCTGTCACCCAGGCTGAGTGGTGGGATGAGTTTGCACTCAGCCTGGCTGATAGAACTCTTGACAGATAATATTTGGACACTCGACATGGAGTCCACAGGACAACATTATTAGGAAAGCTCTATGATTTGTCTTCAGTTTACAGAAGAGCAATGTTAGAAAGTTTCCAAATTTTACGATGTGTTATTTTGTATATCACTTTTTTTTTTTTTTTTT